TGGTCGAGAGCTTAGCCCCCATTTGCCATGCCACACAGGCTGGTGAGGGGCAAGGCTTTTGGTCATGCCAGGCGGACGGGTGTCACCGAACGGTCCGTGACAATGCGAATTCGAACGCAATTCTCGAGAGGCAGGTGGGGCACTTTCGAATTTTCTGTGTCCTGCAGACGGGAGGAAAAGAATGGGGGAGGGTGGCTGTTGAGCGTACCGTTCTGATACGTGTCAAAATTGTTTGACGCGCATTCCTTTGAAAGGCTGTGTCTGTGTGGCAATGCAAGCTTTTCGACAGCTTGTGTGGCGAGCCTCTTAGGGCATGGCCAGACCACTCTCGAAATGTTCAAAATGAGAGTGAACTTCCACTAGAACAGAGCCAGATGCGCCCGCCACATTTTTGTCTTTCTCACATTTCGAGAGCGGTGTGGCTGTGCCCTCAGTGCCTCACCACACCATTTCGAGAGCGGTGTGGCTGTGCCCTCAGGGCCTCGCCACACCAGTGTTCGACAACCGTTAGATCGTTTTCGACATTCATCGTTTTGACACAATGACCGCCATCGCCACACCGTATGTCGAAGACCTAGGATAAACAAACTTCGCTTGTTAGATAGAAAAGGGAAAAAAAAAAAGAAAAGAAGAAGACACGGGATGTTGAGGCGTAGATGTCGAAATCCGTACATCCTTGACAACCTCGTTTCCGTGATGTTGAAACTCAACCCGCCCTGCAGGGGGGCCGTTGGACACCCGTGTAGAAACCCCACCCCACTTCTCTGAGGATTGTCGAAGTGTTTTTGACATTTTTCCTTCGACAGTCTGTGTGGTGAAGAAAAAAATTGTCGAAAACTTCAGTTTCGACATGGGTGTGGCGAGGCCCTCAGTATGTGTGTTCTTGGGAGGTCTTTTATTTATTGTTTTTTGATCGGTGTTTTAAACAGTGCTCCTTTTATTTATGCTGTCTGACAGGAAGGCACGTGTCAGTACCCTGAACGTCGTTGTGCTCGGATAATGTGTAGGTTGTGCAGAAGCCTACAAAGTATTTTGTAGTTTGGAATAAATAAAAAAAAAGAAACTGTAGGAAAGAAATCCAAATCAATTTCAATGACGGCTGGCAAATGTAGATTGCCTGCCGTGATTGAAGTTGATTCGTCTTTCCTTTTTTTTTCTTTTTTTTGTTTTTTGAAAAAAAAAAAGAAACCGATGAAGAAACAGTGAAAGATGATGAAAGATTTGAGAGAAGACTAGTATAGCCTAGTTAAAATGCTTTTTAAAAAAAGAAGTAAAAACAAATGTGTTGTTGGAGTTGCACCAACTTATCAGGAGGGCGATCGCAGGGAGTTTGCACCATCTTAGTCAGGGTCGTCGTTTTTGTCCGTTCAGATTTTGGGCAAACAATGGGCCTCGCTGCACTACTCTGGACACATGTACAGAAGACGAAAATCATGGCCGTGTATCATTTCCATAATCTAGCGCTAGATTCACTCTCGTTTTGCACATTTCGAGAGTAGTCCAGCGAGGCCCAATGTTTTGTGCATTGGTTTCAAGTGTGTATCCATGGGGCCTCGTTGCACCACTCATCAAATGTGAAAACGGCAAGAGGTATGGCAGGTGTACCTGTCCACTTTTGGAGGGAAGATACATTCTTCGCTTTGAACATTTGGTGAGTGTGTGTG